ATCTTTAAAAAAAAAATAAAAAAATAAAAAAAAAATCACAGGTATCCACAAACTTATTCCCCATGATGACCCCTGAACCTGCTAAATCAATGACAAAAACAACAGCAATATTAAGCAATGAGATCAACAGACCCCAGAAGCCAATTCAGGTTCCACTTGTCACTGCTTAAAGAGACTGCAATTACTCACCTAATCTGAAACACCTGATCCTAATTTTAGGGATTTGAAGGTGTGAAACTAGTCTGTGTATACCAACTTCTTTCAATGTGACTTGTCAAATATTTCTTTATTACTGTTCATTTGAATGAAGAAAATCAACATGATTTTATGTCTCTGTTAGTGTATAGCACCTTTCTTAATAGGCACTGATTCAATGAAGATCTGGATCAAATAAATCACAAAAAAAGCAGTCTTAATGGGATGTACTTTTAACAAATGTGCAACACAAATATGCTATGAATCTGTAGTGGCAAAGCACTGCTCAAAATAAGGACACCGCTCAATAAGCTCAGCTCTGTTGTGGAATTACACCCTCCTCTCAGAACAACAGGATTAGAGCTTGGTGTCCCTCTTAAAACCAGACACACGCACTCAGACACAAAAAAGGCAACACACACTGCACATAGACCAAGGGCAGTCTAACAAAAGCAGGTGTAAAACTGGTTGAAAATGTGGAGTGGAGATGGAGAGGAAACTCAATAGATGAACTGTCAAAACTGCACACGCTGCTGCCGTGGATGTGTAAATGCCTCACTGCCCCTCACTGTACCACTAAAGAGGAGGGGGGTGCTACAAACGATGAGGCAGGCTTGTGCGTTGTGTGTGAGAGTTGGGGGAAGGGGTGCTAGACGGCAGTCACTGGGCACAGAGCCAGGAATGCCATCGCTGCAAGCCAAACAAGAGAACGGCGAGCACTCGGGAGAAGGCTTGCTAACAACCGCAGCAGCAGCAGCCACAGCTATGGCAGCGCGTGTAGCGCCCTCTGCTCGCCTGCACGCCGGGGCGACGCAGCTTTTCAAGCCTGCTGATCAGTCACCGCACTCAGCAGGTTTTCAAATGCAAAAACCTCAAGCGCATCGGAAAGAAAAGAGAGAAAGAAAAAGAGAAAGAAAAAGAGCAACTTTTTGTCAGTACTGCGCTCAGATTGTGTGAAGGTTTAAAATCTGCTGGGTAAGCACTTACAACGTCTTTGTGCTCTGCAAAGAGGATTGCACTCTGTAAACTACTTGAAGCTATTCTCAGTGTAGCCATGTTAATGCTTTCTGACCCGGACTAATGACGGGGGAAAAGAGAAACTTGTGCTGCACTCCTGGTGCTATGTAGAGGCCCTAAAATAACTTGTATGGACATACTCCAAAAGCACACAGTGTCAGCTGCTCTAAAAGTAAAGGGAACACGTTCACAGGGTTAGTGTGCATGTTGACAATTTCTTTTTTCCCCCCAACAGATCAAAGAAAATCCTCAACAAATGCATAATTAAAATGCAATCATGCAGCTCTGTCACTGTTTCCACATTTGTATTCATAAATCAAAAAAAATAAACATTATATAAAGCTTTGTGCAGTAATAGTATGAGTGCAAGGAAACTCAAATAGCTCCAAGCTACATTAACACTGATTGTTGCAGATTTTTATTTCTGAAAGGGGCAATTAGGAAAACACTTTCATGCAGTATTTGTCCAGAAAAAAAAAACAAAACAGCTACTACTTCAAAATAGCAAAAAGAAAAAAGAACAAATGAACGAAAGAGAATAAGAGGTTGTTTCTTACTGAAAATGATAGAAATAACAGAACCAAGATATAATAATAATTTCCTCTGGGATACATTTCTTAAGAAAGTCTTGAACTCAAGCAAACCAAATATGTGGGGGGGGGTTTAAAGGGGAGATAAAATTACTCAAAAACATAAAAGTGGAGTTTTGTGTGAAATCAATAAACTGCCTTCATAAGAAATCAAGCTCATCATTTCCACTGAAGACTCCAAGCGAGCATCTGATCGCTGACACACAAAACAAGCCGCCAAACCAAATGACATAATCTGGCAAAAGCAACCCCTCATCCCTCCAGTCCAGCTCTAAGCAAAATAACCCATGAAGACTTCTGAACTGAAAGTGAGGCTGTGACCTAAGCTGTATAGTAATCACAGCATTTAGTAGTCTGTTTTTGTTATCAAGCCCCCCTTCGGCGCCTCTCTGTGAATACACACTGCCTCTTTCAGGAGGACTGGGTGCTGACCGGGGGCCCCAAACCTGGCAGGGACAGAATAGACCTCCAGCCCGCTTCTCTTAACCCTTTGCCAGGTCCAAACACACACACACAAATTAAGGACTCCAACGCATTAGTAAAACAAGCGGGCCTCAAAGCTTGCATCAATCTGCCCTCTACGTGCATCGGGGTACTGGTATCCCCAGCATCAGCCACACTGTCTTCTAATGGAGAGTGTGTGTGTGTCCCTACAGGATGTCAAGCTGCAGGAAAAAGCCAGGTACAGATAACTGGTGCATCTTAAGGGTTACACTGGTCTCTGATGGGAAACAAAGAACTGAGAAGAGATTTCCAACACATATACTGTATAAATTATTGAGCAGTCTGGGAGCAATTTCAACCACAGCGCCGGGGTTATAATCAAAGCATTGAAAGGGGGAGAGTTTTTGCATCTAAAAGTAGGCAGAAAGTGAGGACCAGCAGTTACCAACTATTTAAAAAAAAGCTGAGCGGATGAGGATGCATGAAGTGCAAGCAGCAGTCCTAGTAAATGAAACAGAGAGCGGCCGTACGAGGGCATGAGTACAGTAGGTAAAACCCTGGTGGCTAATGCGTTTAAACCCAATCAGGTGATGCAAGCTAGATCCAGCCACCTCTCTGTGCAGCACCGAGGATATTTCGGCTTTAATACTCGTGTCAACTCTCTTGCACGGCAGCGCAACAACAAGCGTCCCACCAATGTCTGCCAAGCTGCTACACATACGACAACTCGACAGGCGACAACACAGGGCGCCCTTGAATCACCGCAGCTGTGCAGCCACGGCGTTTTAATGACGAGCTAGCTCAAGTTAGGAACATAGTACGTAGAAAACCTCCGTGCTAACCTCAGCGACCGCGCTAGAAGTTAAAATAAGCTCCAGTGTGCACTCGACAAATGCGATATATACAAAAAGGGGGGTTAAGCAGCACTCACGGAGAAGACAGCACTGATGTCAAAGTGGGCTGAGCTGAAAATATTTTGATTCCCAGCTGCCATGTTTGCTATCGAAACTCGCCACATTTCCCCCCCAACAAGAAACAAAAACGCGACAAGGCACATCTCCGTCGCGGTAAACCTCACAGACTCGGTGATAAATCCTACCGTGAAGCGTTCAGTCGGTTCTCAGCAGCGGCGGAGCCTCTGCAGCCATTTTGTAGTAACTGACCGGAGCAGGAGCTCGAGACGGTTGAATCGGTGGTAACGGGGAAGGGGGGCGGAGCTCCACCTTGCCATGTGACCTTCAACAACAAAACAAACTGGTCTCACTTCACATCGCTCCGCCCAGGCGTTTCCATGACAACTGCAGCTCCTCCATCACTCCCCTCTCTGTGCTGCTAATACGCTTCAGCTCGCAGCCGTGCGTGGACTCGCCTCCCTTCACCTCCCCCACCTCCCCTTTTCCTCACGGTATACGGTGTAGATTCAACGAAGAAAGTACGCACGTATAAAAGTCAGTAAGCTCCGTGTAAAACGTGAACTGTTGGGGGGGGGATAATAAGAAACATAACAGCGTTTCAGCAGCCCTGGCACCTGCGCTGTGTTTTAACGCCAACAGAGGGCACAGTTTGTTTTACAAACCAGATAGCCTCGTCATAGTCATAATATACATTCGCACTATGAAGCGGTGAGAGTTTTATTTATTTATATATTTTAATCTTTCTGCTGTTAAAACCAGTTCAGCAGGGAAACGTAACAGAACATGCAGTACAAATGATATAGGAATGGATGTGTCCAGTCTAAGCAACCAAAGAGAGAAACACTGTGCATCACAGCATTTATCTGAGAGCTTTAAGATTTAAGCTTGTAATAGGTTTGTAAAAATATGCAAAATCTCTATATGAATTATGTTTTTTTTATGTACATTTCAAGTTTGTTTTTCGTTAGTAAGTTTCCAGAGAAGATCGGTGTATTCATCAGGGGTCATAAGAAGGTCATAAGAAGAGTTAAGATAACATTGTTATAGAGGCATGTAGACATCTCTGTCCGAATAAACATGTGCACTAAATGCAGTCATGCATTCCTTTCCTATGGAAGCTTTTCCCCACTGGAAAAAAAGCCATCCATAACTTGAAATTTGGGGTTGCTATCTCAAACTTTTAACACAATAACTTAGAATTTTAAGCCATTTTCTCAATTTTGAGTTATTTTCTCAAAAGTTTGAATTTGTAAGTTGAAAAGTTGAGATATCTAACTTGAAATTTTGACTTGATGGCAATTTATTTGTTTTGTTTTTTTGTCTGTTTGTTTGTTTCTTTGGTGCTCAGGAATCAATCTTCCACATTTTCTGTCCTATCTTAGTCTTATCTCAGTTAGGTATAATCTTTTTTTTTTTCACACTTAATACAATAACTTTGGTACTTAACAACCTGTAATGATGAGAAAATTGACCTTGCAAGACACTAGATGAGATAAACAGCATGTTGTAAAGGGAGGTTTTAATCTGTGTAGACTGTGCAGACTTAATCTGTGCAGACTGACAGTACCCGTTTTTAAGAAATAATTATTAGATTAATAATAATAATTGTTCTTAGTCAATACTGATTGACGCAGTTAAAATAAAGTGATTAAACTACAATGTGCAGTTACATCAGATGTTTTTATTTACTCTATTTCTAAAATTACACCATGATTTGCTTTCCTCTTTGGGATAAATTCAGCAGCACTGAAAATGTGTGTTTCATTTTTAGGGAAATAAAACAATTATGGTTTAATTTGGCTACATGAAAACATCAAAATATTAAGTAAGGCTTTGATTAAATATATAGTTGTAATGCGTAAATCAGGAGAACTTGGAAAGTTTATTATAGACATTATTTTTGAGGTGAATGACAGTGATGATTGATAATAGGAATGCACTAGAATATAGATCTAGCATGTTTATGTTATTTTTTAATGTTTTAATGTTTTTCTAATACACAGCCAGGATTTTGGTCATTTAGTGTGAGAAATTCCCCGTGCGCGTGACTCAAAGGAAATCTTATGTTTTCCATCAAACTGAAGAGAAACAAATATGACTGGAGTGCCTTCTGAGTCAATTCGTCTCCACTCAGTGAGTCAGTTCTGGGCCTGAATAAATGCCCTCCTATCTCACTTGCAGCCACAAAAGATCACTCTGCTTGAGTATCTGTGGCATCTGAAAAGAGTCTGAAAACATCAAATGGAGAACGCCCACATGAACTAACCATAATTCTGACTACAAAGCAGGTTGATCGCCACCGTGTGCTCACAATTACAGCACCATCTGTACTTGCTGTCAGAGCCATATAGATTACGGTGTCACCCACATCTGGATAATCGCAGAAAAATGCATTACAGTGACGGTGGCAAAACACAATTAGTCAGTCTACAAGATGATCGAGTGCAAGGGGAGTATGTGGAGAGGGAGACACTAATCACACGCCATGGTGATGAATCTCCTGTGTGTCATGGCAGTAGATAATAATCCATCGCCTGAATCCTTTTCCGAGTTTGTGCGTGGTGTGTGTGTGTGTGAGCATGTATGCATGTGAAGAGGGGAGATCTCCTTGAACAGCTGCCACAAAAGAAAAAAGTTTATGCTCCCTGTGGGAAGATATTCTCACCAATTATTACATTTAAAATGACTGAACGATTTCTCTAACAGTATACTGTGATCCTGCTTTTATGCCATGCTTGTTCCTCGTACCACTTCCTAAATTTCAGCACAGTGCCATGAAGTCGACATCTGCGATTTGTTATGAAATGTCTTAACCACTAAAGTATTGTAGATCATAGATTCATGCAATCCCTTTAGTTGCTTACTAAACCAATGCAAATTAAGATGGCGGCCGTAAACACGATGGCTACTAAAAGCGAGCATGTCATCATTGCCTTTTTGAACATGTTAGTTTAAAGTAGCATCTAAGTAGATTTGCAGAGCGGCTAGCATAACTGCAGAATCAGCAGGAGTGCTAATAAGTAATCAGGAATGCTCAGAAAGGGGCGGAAACCTTGAGCATTGCTCAGGGCAGTGGTTCCAAAAGTGTACATGGATGGAGGTTATGAAAAATAAGAAGTAAAAAAAAAATACTTTGGTGCACCTTTGAGCAGAATTCATGCCCCATCCTTTATTAATTGGTAATAATTGCTAAAAAAAAGTTATGGGAAATTGGGGGTAAGCTTTTTTTCCAGCTTCTACAGTGAGGCAGGCTGCAAAGTCACTTTACTCTGACATTTGAATACTTCAAGCATGAACCAGTATAAACTTGGGATATCTCAGCGTGGCGTGCAGTGTGTCCTTGTGACCAGTGTGAACTGGACAAAAGAAGGAGTGACACACCAGATAAAGAGTATCTTAAAGTCATATCCTTAAGAAATACAACAAATTTGAAAGTTTTGGTTCAAACTGTTGTCAGTATCTGTCGTCAGCAGGTCAGGAGAGAGGTTCAACGGTGTGTGTATACAGCCATCTACGAAACACAGTGGAGGCTCTACCATGGTTTGGGGCTGTATTTAACCCAGTGGTATTGAGTATCTTGTCAAAACTGATGGAAGAATGAATGCAGAAAAGTACAGTCATATTGTGATCCATCATGCAATGCATTTGGAATGCATCTGATTGGCAGCATGACAATGGACGATGACCCCAAACACACTGCCGATGCAGTAAAATCATACTTGGATAGAAACACACAGTCCTGCATTATGAGCTCAACGTTTTAGTTCCGTGTACCACTGCCTGTTTTCAGCTTAGCTTGTTTTTCTCATGTCATTTTGAGTTTTGTATTCCACCCAAAATCTCCTATGATTTCATTCTCAGTTTTAGATTATCATTATTGTTTATTGTTAACTCCCCGAATCTTTGTTTTCCTGCTCACCTGTGCTGTTGTTGTCTAATCTCCTTTTCTGTGTTGGGGGTTCATTTGTTTTTGATACTTCCTGTTTTACTTTGGTATCTTCTGTCTCTTGTGTCTTGTTTCCAGTTTTGTGTCCCCTGTCTCATCATCTTGGATTACTTTCAGCTGTGTCTCGTTTCCCTGGTGTTTCCCATATCCCTAATTACCTCATGTATCCATTTAAAGCCTCAGTTTCCCATAGCTCTTTGTCACATTGTAGTGTTGTCTGCTAATGTATTTCCCCTGCTGTTTGCTTACTTTGGATTCTTGGATTTGTTGTTAGACTTCTCATTGTTGCATTTTGCATTTGGGTCCATGCCCACACCTATCTCTAACAAAATTGAGTTTGTACAATGATTTTCAAGTTCATTGTACAAACTCCGTTTTTGCCTAATGTAATGTATTTCTATTTATTTTTGCCCGTTTCCCATTTCCCTACTCAAAATATTTTTACACAGTACTATATGTGCTGTTATGCAATTAGCAGAATACAAAGAAAAGAAAAATCAACAAATGCATCTCAGTATGTTGTGATCCATACAAGAGAATCTGACCTTGCTGTCTCTGCATTAACAGCACTGATCAATACACACAGACAGGCAGTGTGTATGTGAGAAATTCAATTATCACCTCGGCCAGCTGAGATGGCCTGTCTGGGTGCGACTGAAGTTCAGTGGTTAGACAGTTACCAGCCTGCCCCTGTGGGAAAGGCGGAGGGGTCAATCAAGGTGTCATTTTAAACTATGGGAAGAAGCGGGACTTTGAGACCTCCAGGGAGCAGGGGTTAGAGGTTTTACTTGAATTAAAAACACAACCTAAGATGTAGTCGCATACAGATGGGTCGGTGTGCTGTCGTAAAAGCCTTATTCATGTATTTGCATGTTAGCACAGCAACTTCTAAACAACTGCACATTTCATGCACAACAATATTACATGTTTTCTTCACGATTGTGTAAGACAGCCATTTGTTTTTTATGTTTTTATTTTGTGCTTCTCCCCAGTGCTTTCTGCATCCAATAAAGGAGAATTAGATGACTCTAATGAAGGGATATTTTCTCAGAATTTATTTTGTACATTATCATTAGAAAAATACCGCAAACGCAGCTTGAACCAAAGCTTGTTCAGACAAGCATGGCAAATCAGTTTGTTGACAGAATGAAGGTCTCTCTTTAAGAGTCGCTGTCGTTTTAACACTTCTGTCACTGATGCTTGTGTCCCAAATAAGAAAAGGCTGCGATTAATTTAGGGGGGGTATCTCTATACTGCATTTCATAGACTGTAATTGAACGAGAGACAAGTGATTGTGCTATGCAGCTAATCAGATGTGTACTGTGTGGGTGGGCATTAACCCCCCG